CTTATGTTCCTGCCCATTATTTCTTCTACCGTTCCACCTCTCTTAAGTACTTATGTTCCTGTCCATTATTTCTTCTACTGCTCCACCTCTCTTAAGTACTTATGTTCCTGCCCATTATTTCTTCTACTGTTCCACCTTTCTTAAGTACTTATGTTCCTGCCTATTATTTCTTCTACTGCTCCACCTCTCTTAAGTACTTATGTTCCTTCCCATTATTTCTTCTACTGTTCCACCTCTCTTAAGTACTTATGTTCCTGCCCATTATTTCTTCTACTGTTCCACCTCTCTTAAGTACTTATGTTCCTGCCCATTATTTCTTCTACTGTTTCACCTTTCTTAAGTACTTATGTTCCTGCCTATTATTTCTTCTACTGTTCCACCTCTCTTAAGTACTTATGTTCCTGCCCATTATTTCTTCTACTGTTCCACCTCTCTTAAGTACTTATGTTCCTGCCCATTATTTCTTCTACTGTTCCACCTCTCTTAAGTACTTATGTTCCTGCCCCTTATTTCTTCTACTGTTCCACCTCTCTTAAGTGCTTATGTTCCTATCCATTTATCTTCTTTTACTGTTCCACCTCTCTTAAGTACTTATGTTTCTGTCCATTATTTCTTCTACTGTTCCACCTCTCTTAAGTACTTATGTTCCTGTCCATTATTTCTTCTACTGTTCCACCTCTCTTAAGTACTTATGTTCCTGCCCATTATTTCTTCTACTGCTCCACCTCTCTTAAGTACTTATGTTCCTGTCCATTATTTCTTCTACTGTTCCACCTCTCTTAAGTGCTTATGTTCCCGCACATTATTTCTTCTACTGTTCACCTCTCTTAAGTACTTATGTTCCTGCCATTATTTCTTCTACTGTTCCACCTCTCTTAAGTACTTATGTTCCTGCCCATTATTTCTTCTACTCTTCCACCTCTCTTAAGTACTTATGTTCCTGCCCATTATTTCTTCTACTGTTCCACCTCTCTTAAGTACTTATGTTCCTGCCCATTATTTCTTCTACTGTTCCACCTCTCTTAAGTACTTATGTTCCTGCCCATTATTTCTTCTACTGTTCCACTCTCTTTTTAAGTACTAATGCTTCTGCCCATTATTTCTTCTACTGTTCCACCTCTCTTAAGTACTTATGTTCCTGCCCATTATTTCTTCTACTGTTCCACCTCTCTTAAGTACTAATGCTTCTGCCCATTATTTCTTCTACTGTTCCACCTCTCTTAAGTACTTATGTTCCTGCCCATTATTTCTTCTACTGTTCCACCTCTCTTAAGTACTTATGTTCCTGCCCATTATTTCTTCTACTGTTCCACCTCTCTTAAGTACTTATGTTCCTGCCCATTATTTCTTCTACTGCTCCACCTCTCTTAAGTACTTATGTTCCTGTCCATTATTTCTTCTACTGTTCCACCTCTCTTAAGTGCTTATGTTCCTGCACATTATTTCTTCTACTGTTCCACCTCTCTTAAGTACTTATGTTCCTGCCCATTATTTCTTCTACTGTTCCACCTCTCTTAAGTACTTATGTTCCTGCCCATTATTTCTTCTACTGTTCCACCTCTCTTAAGTACTTATGTTCCTGCCCATTATTTCTTCTACTGCTCCACCTCTCTTAAATACTTATGTTCCTGCCCATTATTTCTTCTACTGCTCCACATCTCTTAAGTACTTATGTTCATGCCCATTATTTCTTCTACTGTTCCACCTCTCTTAAGTACTTATGTTCCTGCCCATTATTTCTTCTACTGCTCCACCTCTCTTAAGTACTTATGTTCCTGCCCATTATTTCTTCTACTGTTCCACCTCTCTTAAGTACTTATGTTCCTGCCCATTATTTCTTCTACTGCTCCACCTCTCTTAAGTGCTTATGTTCCTGCCCATTATTTCTTCTACTGCTCCACCTCTCTTAAGTACTTATGTTCCTGCCCATTATTTCTTCTACTGTTCCACCTCTCTTAAGTACTTATGTTCCTGCCCATTATTTCTTCTACTGTTCCACCTCTCTTAAGTACTTATGTTCCTGTCCATTATTTCTTCTACTGCTCCACCTCTCTTAAGTACTTATGTTCCTGCCCATTATTTCTTCTACTGTTCCACCTCTCTTAAGTACTTATGTTCCTGCCCATTATTTCTTCTACTGTTCCACCTCTCTTAAGTACTTATGTTCCTGCCCATTATTTCTTCTACTGTTCCACCCCTCTTAAGTACTTATGTTCCTGCCCATTATTTCTTTACTGTTCCACCTCTCTTAAGTACTTATGTTCCTGTCCATTATTTCTTCTACTGTTCCACCTCTCTTAAGTACTTATGTTCCTGTCCATTATTTCTTCTACTGTTCCACCTCTCTTAAGTGCTTATGTTCCTGCCCATTATTTCTTCTACTGTTCCACCTCTCTTAAGTACTTATGTTCCTGCCCATTATTTCTTCTACTGTTCCACCTCTCTTAAGTACATATGTTCCTGCCCATTATTTCTTCTACTGTTCCACCTCTCTTAAGTACTTATGTTCCTGCCCATTATTTCTTCTACTGCTCCACCTCTCTTAAGTACTTATGTTCCTGCCCATTATTTCTTCTACTGCTCCAGCTCTCTTAAGTACTTATGTTCATGCCCATTATTTCTTCTACTGCTCCACCTCTCTTAAGTACTTATGTTCCTGCCCATTATTTCTTCTACTGCTCCACCTCTCTTAAGTACTTATGTTCCTGCCCATTATTTCTTCTACTGTTCCACCTCTCTTAAGTACTTATGTTCCTGCCCATTATTTCTTCTACTGCTCCACCTCTCTTAAGTACTTATGTTTCTGTCCATTATTTCTTCTACTGTTCCACTTATCGTAAGTACTTCCTTCCTCTCCACAATTTTCCTTCTCTCTTCTCCTTTAACGGATGACAAATTGGTCATATGCTGCAAGGGAGAGAGACAGAGAGAGAGAGAGAGAGAGAGAGAGAGAGCACCTTTCCCCTGTCACCTCTTTATATCTTTGGAATATAATTAAATTATATCGTAATATACTTATTGTATTAATGTGTATTAATACTCTTGATATTCAGATATACTTTGTATGCTCATACTACTCTGTATAAAATACGTTTTCGTGAATTTGAGATTATTTGGTTTTGACTTGGTATATACGGTGTGACGTTTATATGTTTTTATGTATATACAATGAGAAGCATCTTATTATGTATATATGTTGAAAGATGTGTGACTCTTAGTGTATATACGGTGAGAGGTGTGTATATCTTGTATATACGGTGAGAGGTGTGTATATCTTGTATATACGGTGAGAGGTGTGTATATCTTGTATATACGGTGAGAGGTGTGTATATCTTGTATATACGGTGAGAGGTGTGTATATCTTGTATATACGGTGAGAGGTGTGTATATCTTGTATATACGGTGAGAGGTGTGTATATCTTGTATATACGGTGAGAGGTGTGTATATCTTGTATATACGGTGAGAGGTGTGTATATCTTGTATATACGGTGAGAGGTGTGTATATCTTATATATACGGTGAGAGGTGTGTATATCTTGTATATACGGTGAGAGGTGTGTATATCTTGTATATACGGTGAGAGGTGTGTATATCTTGTATATACGGTGAGAGGTGTGTATATCTTGTAATATACGGTGAGAGGTGTGTATATCTTGTATATACGGTGAGAGGTGTGTATATCTTGTATATACGGTGAGAGGTGTGTATATCTTGTATATACGGTGAGAGGTGTGTATATCTTGTATATACGGTGAGAGGTGTATATATCTTGTATATACGGTGAGAGGTGTGTATATCTTGTATATACGGTGAGAGGTGTGTATATCTTGTATATACGGTGAGAGGTGTGTATATCTTGTATATACGGTGAGAGGTGTGTATATCTTGCATATACGGTGAGAGGTGTGCATATCTTGTATATACGATGAGAGGTGTGTATATCTTGTATATACGGTGAGAGGTGTGTATATCTTGTATATACGGTGAGAGGTGTGTATATCTTGCATATACGGTGAGAGGTGTGTATATCTTGTATATACGGTGAGAGGTGTGCATATCTTAGTGTATATACTGTGAGACGTGTGTATATCTTAGTGTATATAAGGTGAGAGGTTTACATATCTTAGTGTATATACGGTGAGAGGTGTGTATAGCTTAGTGTATATACGGTGAGAGGTGTGTATATCTTAGTGTATGTACGGTGAGAGGTGTGTATATCTTAGTGTATATACGATGAGAGGTGTGTATATCTTAGTGTATATACGGTGAGAGGAGTGTATATCTTAGTGTATATACGGTGAGAAGTGTGTATATCTTAGTGTATACACGGTGAGAGGTGTGTATATCTTAGTGTATATACGGTGAGAGGTGTGTATATCTTAGTGTATATACGGTGAGAGGTGTGTATATCTTAGTGTATATACGGTGAGAGGTGTGTATATCTTAGTGTATATACGGTGAGAGGTGTGTATATCTTAGTATATACAGGGTGAGAGGTGTGTATATCTTAGTGTATATACTGTGAGAGGTGTGTATATCTTAGTGTATATACGGTGAGAAGTGTGTATATCTTAGTGTATATACGGTGAGAGGTGTGTATATCTTAGTGTATATACGGTGAGAGGTTGTATATCTTAGTGTATATACGGTGAGAGGTGTGTATATCTTAGTGTATATACGGTGAGAGGTGTGTATATCTTAGTGTATATACAGTGAGAGGTGTGTATATCTTAGTGTATATATACACCACTCACCATATGTACGCAGGTGACATACAGCCCTAATTATCCTTGTTTAGTAAACAGATTTTACGCTCAATAAACAAGTCAAACTTAATGATATCTTGCTTGACGACGTCAGAAACGTCTCTCCCTCCCAGTGCTGACTTACCTAAGGACGTCACTTCCTTCCCTCATTCCTACTGACATCAGCATCGCTAACCCCTTTCCCACTGCTGACGTATCTAAGGACGTCACCTCCTTCCCTCAGTGTGTACTTACCTACGGACACCGGCGACGTCACCCCGCTCCACAGACAGAAGAAATTTTTTCTCCTCGATGGTGAGCTGACCCATCTCCTGGTGGGGTCTGTTGTGACGGTCCTCCTCTCCCATGCCATGGATGCTGTGGCTCTGTGGTAAAAATAAAACACCGTCAGAGGCACCACTAAAACGATGAGAGGCATCACGAAAACAATCAAAGGCATCACTAAAGTAATGAGAGGCATCACTAAAACAATGAGAAGCGTCACGAAAACAATTAGAGGCATCACGAAATCAATAATAGGCATCACTAAAACAATGACAGGCATCACTAAAACAATGGAAAGGAATAATAACATGGTAGGGTATCAGACACAACTTGGTATCTTAGTCAAGACAAAGCTGAGGGATTGATTTCCGCATCTTCCGCTGTACTGAACTTGTGAAGCCACTGGTGGGCGAAATGTGTTCAACTGAAGACACCCAGGTGTTATAGATGGGTGTAATTCCTTATTCTTGGAGGTGGATCAGTGCGAAAGATAGTGAGCTAGAGATGGTCCAGGGAGGAGGCTAATGGGTTGGAGATAGTCAGGTGTGAGATACGGAGAGAAGGATCTCTGCCAGGCAGAGTTGTGACCGACTGTAAGAAAGATGAAAATTGCTGTGGGAGAGAGAGAGAGAGAGAGAGAGAGAGAGTGAGAGAGAGAGAGAGAGAGAGAGACGGGGGGGGGGAAGAGGGGCGAAAGGCTCCCTATCTCTCCTCTCCTCTTTTTCTTTTCCTCTCTCATTCCCTCCCTCCTTCACACTCTCCCTCCCTCTCCATTAAAAGAAAGTTAATATTTGTATAATTAAGCCTGGAACGTCAGCTTCTAAATATTCCATGGAATTTATTTCCACCATCTTTTAAAAACTTTCTCAATAACAATATGAGAGAAAATTAGGTAAGTGCGCCCTATAATTAACCCTGTTTAAACACCTATAACAACAACTTCAATAACAATTAACTTCTCTGTTTGTTAATATATATCCTCGAAAGGATAAATATATATCCTTGAAAGGGTAAATATATATCCTTGAAAGGGTAAATATATATCCTTGAAAGGGTAAATATATATCCTTGAAAGGGTAAATATATATCCTTGAAAGGGTAAATATATATCCTTGAAAGGGTAAAAATAGATCTACTGTTAAAGCTCCTGGGCCGAGGGAAGGAGCTCATCTGGGTCATAGTTGGTGCCTCTGAAGGAATATTATACAGTAAGTATTATCTTCGAGTCGTTCCTATTAGTGGCCTGGGTTAGCCTAGACAGTAAACGTCGGACTGTCAATTTACGCACCGCGGTTCGAGCCCTCGAACTGAGGTTAGTGAACGGTGGGAATGATCTCTGTTTCTGAAGACTTGGTTAACATTTGCCTTACTAATAATAATAATAATAATAATAATAATAATAATAATAATAATAATAATAATAATAATAATAATAATAATAATAATAATAATAAAAATAATATCTTTATTTACTACAAGTACATGTACATGGTATACAGGCTTAGCTGATTCTGTTAAAGGTGACTGTTTCAGAGGGAAGCATAAGGTAAGACAGTATAAGACAGGATGAGATAAGATAGCATGAAATACGACAGAATAAGATAAGAAAGACAGAATGAGGCCCAGATTGTAGCTATGAAACTCGGAGTTCCGTAGTCTCAAAATATCGTTGAACTTTGGCCATTATCGCCCCTATGGAGATGTTATCCTTACTGCCTAAGTCCTCAATGAATATTTATGCATTTCTCCGTTGCATTTATCTCTGATTTTCATTCTCTCTCTCTCTCTCTCTCTCTCTCTCTCTCTCTCTCTCTCTCTCTCTCTCTCTCTCTCTCTCTCTCTCTCTCTCTCTCTCTCTCTCTCTCTCTCTCTCTCTCTCTCTCTCTCTCTCTCTCTCTCCTCTCTCTCTCTCTCTTTCGCTCACGAGTCATAACTGACCCAAAATTCATCACACAAATCAAAAAAGTTGATAATTTTTCGTTGCAGTGTATTTTCCCTCTCTGAGATTCCGTGAAGCTGCCCAGGTGATGCATTACATACCCACTCATCTTCCTGGGTATACTGATAGGCAAAATACCCAGACACTGAGCATGGTAGTAAGTAGCTGTTACCATGACTACATCTCAGCGATGAGGCTTTGACGAGGGAGTCTCCTGTCATCTCACATGATGACAGCATCCATGACGACTCTCATACTGTGACAGATCTGCTGAGCATCCAGCTTCTCGTAAGCCTCCTCCTCGTCTTCCTCCGCTGAAACATCCTTTTAATAACGGATGTGGGTTCAATATTCATCTTGTCGGTACTGTGTACCATTCAAGTACAAGCACTCGATAGTTACATACATGAACCGGACTAGCCTGATAGTTTAATACTACTGCTGCTGCTGCCAATGCTACAGCTACAGAGCGACACTATTCGACTATCTTCCCTGTTTTTTTCAGAAGACATTAGTCGGCCCGACCTTCATGTGGTATCACATAATATCAAATGCCACTGTATAATTCTGAATAGCTTCACATAATGCACATATCGAATTTTGTTTGATGAATGTCGCCACTCATAGTAAGACCACATAATCAAAGACTGGTTTCGAACTTCAGAAGAAGTGTCAAGATAAGGAAAGTTAATAGAGAAGATTTGAAGATAGGAAATCGATTCTCTGTTCTCCAGAACGAGTGTACTTCAGTGGTTAGTGAGGTTAAAGGTACCACTGATTCCTCTGCTATTCAAGGTAAGAACATTCTGTTTGTGGGAGATTCCCAGGTAAGATATATGGACCGTGCTTTTTGTAACAGAGATAGAAAGGTGAGACAGAGAGTGTGCTTCCCAGGAGCTGGTGTTGATAACATAGTCAACACGCTGGATAATATTATGTCAAGTAATGGGAAGAAGCCCATTATCTGTCATAGTGCTGGTGGTAATGACATCAGGAAGGGCAGGAGAGAGGAGCTGCTGGATTAGTACAAATCAGCCATAGAAGTAGTCAGGTCTAAGGGAGGGATCCCTATCATATGTAGCATCTTGCCTAGAAGGGGAGTGGGCAATGAATGGATGTCTAGGGCAATTGGTATAAATTGCTGGCTAGAGAGGTACTGCAACAAACTTGCAATTCCATTCATTGACAACTGGGACAAATTCCATGGCAAACGTGATATGTATGCAAGGGATGGGGTACATCTCTCTGGGGCCGGAGTGGTTGCACTATCTAACTGGATTGAGGGGGCCATTGCTGACTTGTCTAGGATTGTAAACTGATAGATTATAGAGGTATGGTGTGTGTGGGAAACAATCAAGCTCTAACTCACTTCTCTGAGGACTGGCTTCACAGGGACCACTAAGTCACTGTGGTCTCTAACTCACCTCTCTGAGGACTGGCTTCACAGGGACCACTAAGTCACTGTGGTCTCTAACTCATCTCTGGGACTGGCTTACAGGACACTAAGACTGTGGTCTCTAATCATTTTAAGGATGGCTTCCAGGGACACCAAGTCACTATGGTCTCTAACTTACCTCTCTAAGGACTGGCTTCACAGGGACCACTAAGTCATTATGGTCTCTAACTCACCTCTCTAGGGACTGGCTTCACAGGGACCACTAAGTCACTATGGTCTCTAACTCACCTCTCTAAGGACTGGCTTCACCACCACATCCACAAAGTCGTCCAGGGTCTCCAGTTGTCGTATGCCAGACATTCTCAGTAATCGTTTTCTTCTCGCTATCCTATATATATCTTGTCTTCTGCTAATGCCACTCTCTCACTCTTCTATTGTTCCACTCACTTTTTCATCTTATGTTTCTTATTCTCGTTTTTCTTTCGTTTTTTAAATAGATTTCGTGCTATTTTTTCACGTTTTTTATAGAGTTTTCTTAATCTTTTCTTTCCTATTTTATACAGTTTACTTACACTTTCTCTCACGTTTGTGTCTCTTCGTTTCATTATATTTTTAACTGTATAAGTAATGAGGAAAACCAGTTTGAGGGGAGACTAATGTACTGGGTAGAAGGACAGAGAATAATGAACGTTGGAACAACGAAAATATTCCAGCATATTTATTCTTGGCTTTCAAAATCTAATATTTTAAATTTCATTATTCTCACTTTCTAAATTTCAGAATTTCTGTTCTCGGTAATTCAGTTTCAGGGGGAATTTTGTCTCATATTGATGGTGATATTTGAGATTAGTCTCTTGGAAAGTCGAAGTTTTCTTTTATTCGCTAGTTTTTGTTTGCATCTCTAGTTTGACACTGCAGTTTGTGGCTATTTCCTCGTATATTTTGCATTGCTTAAGTGTTGCTTGTGTGTTGTTGATTGGTGTGGCATCCGTCGTTGCTGCAGAAGTTGCAACTGCCGTCATCTTGTCTCCATGGTGACAACCACGACTCCTGCAATTATGAGTCTCCAAGACGACTACCACGATCCCTAACCGCTGTCACCAGTCTAGGTGACTACCACCACGACTTTCGTGTTCCCCAGACACAAATCAGGAGGAGACTTCCTGAGTAACTCAAGGAGAAACTACATTTCCTCTCACGGAACAAGTGAGAAGGAGAAGGAAAGGGAGAAGGAGTGGGAGAAGAAGAGCAGGAGGAAGAAGAAGAGGATGAAAATAAGAGAAGACTATGAGGGAACTATTATATTAACTCATGAAGTTGGTGCGTTAGTTCTTGAGAACGTATTCTGGAGAGGTACGATGTTTACGTTTTCTTACTCACGGTACATTGAAATATGAAAGATCTCTCTCTCTCTATCTCTCTCTCTCTCTCTCGTAAGCTCAAGCTGAAGATTATTAATAAAATTAATTTCATTTCTCCCACTCTAGTGATTCCAGGAGATACGTGAACACCCAGCAGCTAGCTGGATTCCGTCTTCTGTCAGCACACTTTTCAAGGCCGGGATATAAATATCCTCTTTCATCCACTGTGTTATCCGTAGCAAAGGGACTTTATTTACAAAATTAAATTAGAATAATTTATCAACTGTAAAGCACCAGTTAGTTATCCAGAGCGGATAATTAGGGAGCGGGTTGCCACACACTGTAGTGAAGGCTTTTAAGTTGAAGATTTTGTCAACAAAGGGGCTACTTCGCACCTTAAATGGAGTCTGTGGACGGTATTGCAAGAGCATATGGATACATGAATACATTTTACTAGTTACAAGCAAATTTAGGATACTTGTTCAGAATTTCTAGTAAAGAGAGGGATGGTAAAGCAATTTAAGTGAGAGGGTAACCTTTCTACAACACTGCCTCCTGTGATGTCTGCTCCAGGGACTACCCGT